ATAATGACAAAAAAGTAGTATTCTAATTTGTTTCTGAAGCTTGCAACGCTGCAAGGAAGTCATTTTCGAGTATGCAGTTTTATTACCCTGCTAAAATATAATACAGACGCTTTCCGATTAAAATAAATGATTTTTGGCTTAATTATGTTTTTTAAGATTTGGTCGATCAAATTGTGGTATGATAATACAAATAAATATTGACAAAAAAGTGGTATTCTAATTTATTTCTGAAACTAGTTATGATGCAAAGGAGTCGTTTCCGACCCTATAAATCATATATATTCTTGATCAGCATTAAGAGGAGAGTCGATCCTGCTATGTCTGGTCGAAATCTATTTTTTTCAGAATTTTCCAAATTTTAAAATTTTATGTTTACATCATTAAAATTGGCAAAAATTCGATAAAAATTGAACCTCTTTAAATGTTAAACTGAGTAGCAGATTTATCACGTGATAAAAACTAACATAGGAATGCATTCCGAATTAAAATTAGTGCATTTTTGGCTAAGTTATGAATTTTTTAGCTTTGGTCGATTAAATTGTTTATGATAGTATAAATAAATAATAACAAAAAGTAGTATTCTAATTTGTTTCTGAAGCTTGTAACGCTGCAAGGAAGTCATTTTCGAGTATGCAGTTTTATTACCGTGCTAAAATATAATACAGGACTGCTTTCCGAATAAAAATTAATGCATTTTTGGCTTAATTATGAATTTTTTAGGCTTTGGTCGATCAAATTGTGGTATGATAGTATAAATAAATAATGACAAAAAAGTAGTATTCTAATTTGTTTCTGAAGCTTGCAACGCTGCAAGGAAGTCATTTTCGAGTATGCAGTTTATTACCCTGCTAAAATATAATACAGGACAGCTTTCCGATTTAAAATAAATGAATTTTTGGCTTAATTATGCATTTTTTAAGATTTGGTCGATCAAATTGTGGTATGATAATACAAATAAATATTGACAAAAAAGTGGTATTCTAATTTATTTCTGAAACTAGTTATGATGCAAAGGAGTCGTTTCCGACCCTATAAATCATATATATTCTTGATCAGCATTAAGAGGAGAGTCGATCCTGCTATGTCTGGTCGAAATCTATTTTTTTCAGAATTTTCCAAATTTTAAAAATTTTATAAGGGGTTACATCATTAAAATTGGCAAAAATTCGATAAAAATTGAACCTCTTTAAATGTTAAACTGAGTATGCAGATTTATTAAGGTGATAAAAACTAACATGGAATGCATTCCGAATTAAAATTAGTGCATTTTTGGCTTAATTATGAATTTTTAAGCTTTGGTCGATTAAATTGTGGTATGATAGTGGAAATATAAAATGACAAAAAAGTAGTATTCTAATTTGTTTCTGAAGCTTGCAACGCTACAAGGAAGTCATTTTCGAGTATGCAGTTTTATTACCGTGCTAAAATATAATACAGGACTGCTTTCCGAATAAAAATTAATGCATTTTTGGCTTAATTATGAATTTTTTAAGCTTTGGTCGATCAAATTGTGGTATGATAGTATAAATAAATAATGACAAAAAAGTAGTATTCTAATTTGTTTCTGAAGCTTGCTACGCTGCAAGGAAGTCATTTTCGAGTATGCAGTTTTATTACCGTGCTAAAATATAATACAGGACTGCTTTCCGAATAAAAATTAATGCATTTTTGGCTTAATTATGAATTTTTTAAGCTTTGGTCGATCAGTAGTAGTAAAAGTAGTATTCTAATTTGTTTCTGAAGCTTGCAACGCTGCAAGGAAGTCATTTTCGAGTATGCAGTTTTATTACCCTGCTAAAATATAATACAGGACAGCTTTCCGATTTAAAATAAAGAATTTTTGGCTTAATTATGCATTTTTTAAGCTTTGGTCGATCAAATTGTGGTATGATAGTATAAATAAATAATAACAAAAAAGTAGTATTCTAATATGTTTCTGAAGCTTGCAACGCTGCAAGGAAGTCATTTCCGAGTATGCAGTTTTATTACCCTGCTAAAATATAATACAGGACAGCTTTCCGATTTAAAATAAAAGAATTTTTGGCTTAATTATGCATTTTTTAAGATTTGGTCGATCAAATTGTGGTATGATAATACAAATAAATATTGACAAAAAAGTGGTATTCTAGTTTATTTCTGAAACTAGTTACGCTGCGAAGGTGTCGTTTCCGACCCTATAAATCATATTTTTTCTTGATCAGCATTAAGAGGAGAGTCGATCCTGCTATGTCTGGTCGAAATCTATTTTTTTCAGAATTTTCCAAATTATAGAAATTTTATAAGGGTTACATCATTAAAATTGGCAAAAATTCGATAAATATTGAACCTCTTTAAATGTTAAACTGAGTATGCAGATTTATTAACGTGATAAAAACTAACATAGGAATGCATTCCGAATTAAAATTAGTGCATTTTTGGCTAAGTTATGAATTTTTTAAGCTTTGGTCGATTAAATTGTGTTATGATAGTATAAATAAATAATAACAAAAAAGTAGTATTCTAATTTGTTTCTGAAGCTTGCAACGCTGCAAGGAAGTCATTTTCGAGTATGCAGTTTTATTACAGTGCTAAAATATAATACAGGACTGCTTTCCGAATAAAAATTTATGCATTTTTGGCTTAATTATGAATTTTGTAAGCTTTGGTCGATCAAATTGTGTATGATAGTATAAATAAATAATAACAAAAAAGTAGTATTCTAATTTGTTTCTGAAGCTTGCAACGCTGCAAGGAAGTCATTTTCGAGTATGCAGTTTAATTACCCTGCTAAAATATAATACAGGACTGCTTTCCGAATAAAAATTAATGCATTTTTGGCTTAACTATGAATTTTTAAGCTTTTTAAATTGTGGTATGATAATACAAATAAATATTGACAAAAAAGTGGTATCTAATTTATTTCTGAAACTTTACGTTCCGGAGGAGTCATTTCCGACCCTATAAATCATATATATTATTGATCAGAATAAAGAGCTGAATCGATCTAGCTATCTCTGGTTGAATTTTTTACATCATTAGAATTGTCAAAAATTGGCAAAATTTTCATTTTGAAAATTTTAAATTGAGTATGCAGTAAAAACTAGCATAGGTAACGTTTCCTTATTGAAATTAATTCATTTTTGGCCAGTTTATAACTTTTTTAAAATTTGATTTATAGACAAAATTGTCACATAAAATATAGATAAATATCGAATGGTATTCTAACTTTTGTCAGAAGCTAAGTGAAGTTAAGTTAAAATATGTAAAAATATGTATATATAATTTATGGGTACATATTTATATATTCCGAATTAAAATTAATGCTCTTGTGGTTTATTTATGAGATTTTAAAATTTGTTTTCTGGATCAAATTTTCATACAAATTTCTTGAAAAAAATCGATTTATAGAGTGCGAATATTTTAAATTTAGTTATCAAAGATTTGCAAGCTGCATGTGTATATTATTTTGACGTTCCGAAGTTAGTTTTCATATTTGTTCTTGATATTTTTAACTTAATTTGGTATTAGTAAAATATTTGATACTCATTTTCCCATCAATCCATTCTATGAAATGCTTATACATTTAAAATTTTTGTACAATTATAAGTGTAATAGGGTCTAAATATTTGTCTCTCTGCATAACGGCTGGTAAAGTTTTTTTTGCCAGATTTCCCTGCTCAGTGAGGCAGCCAAAATAAATCAGTAAACTCCATCCAGCGCATTTTGGCAATGCATTAAATCAATATCTCACTCACTGTCAATCCGTTTGTTTGTCTGTCTAACTGCCGGCGAAAAGTTCGCCGTGCATACATAATTGCGAGCTGAACTCTGGCAAAGAATTAATGAACTTCCGAGGGAAAAGGAGTTCGGAGATGCCGAAACCAAGGAATAAATATCATGCACGTCCTGGGAAGTTCCCTTCTTAGTTTCGAATTGATGAGCTGGAGGTAAAGTTTTGCGTGCTAGCACGATGATTTCACGCAATCATTTTCCACACCGCATTTCCCGCCTGCGCTCGGGGAAAGTTGCTCATTAAGGCGGCGATGAGAATTTGCGTAAAATTTTCCCCTACCCCCTTCCCCAACCTTTACAGGATTATTAATAACCGCGAATGGGTGTGAGTGGGTGTATATACGTGTGGGTGCGTGTAAATATTTGCACATTTCTCATTAAAGTTTCACGTATATACATATCACGCATACGCCGCATTGTGCACAATTAGTTGCAATTTATTCGCTCTTACACAACAGACGAGCACTCGGCTTAATGATACTTAATGTGTAAATCATTATAATAAATTACATGCACAAGCGATGATAAAAATAATCCAGAGCCAAGAAAAATACAAATAAACCAAACACAATCCGCATAATGTGTGCGACGTCATGAAACTCACACCCTATACACATACTATATAAATATATTTATGGTATAAAGCGCAGTGCAAACAGAGCCAAGTCGGGGGATTCAAGAGTGGAGTCCTTATGCACGCATTAGACATAAAGGCCATAGACATTAGTGCGCATAATGAAAAGCGTTTCAGCATTTCAGTTCCAAGAGTGCGTCACACGATGCTCCAAATGATAATGATGATGATGGGGGGACTTAAACCCGAATACACACCAAAGTAACCGCCACATCAAACAGACACAGAAACCGGAAAAAATGTATAAATATATATATTTATATATGCAAGTAAAGGTCTAAAGAGTAAACGCTCCACAAGTTATGAAAGCTTTGCGACTCCCCTAACCATCCTCAAGTCATCAGCTGTTCAGCCAGCTGTTCTGCCTGCCAATATTTTGGGTAATTTCCAGATGAAAACCTCATTGTTCAGAGAGAGACAAAACTTCCCTTGAAAATAATACCCAAAACACAGCATCTCTCGGATGATGCTGTGTGCGCATGTCGAGAGCTCACACTCTCCACGAGCATCCAAGTTGCTCTCGGCGATTTTATAGCAAAGGACGTTTATCTGAACATGGCCAGCATCCTTTGGACCAGTAGCGGAGTAACTTTGAAGCGTTACGGTTGGTCGCGATTTCGTCTCGAAAACGTGTGGCACTTTCTGATGGTCACTTCAGTGTAAGCGCGTCGGTCGCACTGTGTTTACATTGTTTGCAAACTAATTAAAGTGAGTTTACAGCCGACTTAACAAATCATCATGATTCTGCTCAAGGGCCCAGGTCACTTGAGACGGTTCTGGGATTAAATTAAATTGGTCAAGTGCTTGCAAAATTCGAAATATACATCCATGAGTGCATGAGTGTTTAAAGTAAACCATATAACAAAATTCAAACGTCTAAACATAAATATAAACAGCCTTTTGGCATACACAAACACCACTGAAATATTTATGGAAAATAGGATTTCAATGGCAAAAGGCTTTAGAGAGACTTTTCTATTCTCTTATCTTTTCAATGAAATGTCCAAAATGTGTTATTTAGTAATCAAGAGCAATAAAAGGCTTTAAATTTATAATTTATTTATTTTTGTTTTTTTTTTTTGCTAAGGCTGATTATATATTTGCTACTAATTTAGTGTTTGTATAAGTCCAAAAGCAATGAGAATTATTTCAAAGATTTTAGCATTTTGCAATAAATAAAATCTCCCAGATTAGGTATTTCATTTCAGAAAATAAACTGAGTAAATTTAAAACGAAATAAAACCCAATAGATTAGGATAGTATGCAGTTAATTACAGAAACCATAAGCTTACTCCATTTTAATTGGAATAAAACCACTAACATTGCTGCAAAAATATTTGTAAAGAATCCTTTCTGTAAAAAGGATTTCACAATTTTCCAACTGTAAATATCTTAAGAAACTAAAACTACAGAAGCAGAAGAACATAAAAATAACAACCTGCTGTGGTCATCCAACTAGTTGTGTCCCAAAGATAACATTTTATAGCCTCCACAAAAAAAAGGAAAATTCCTTGCAGTGCAAACAGAGTAAATTCATGAAAAACAAACAAAAAGCGACAAAGTGAAATTAAAAAAAAAAAAAAATAAACACAAGAACGTGAAAAACGGAAAAGTGCAAACAAGACGACACTAAGGCCGAATTAAAAACTGTGAAGCCAAACAAATAATTTTGAAATTAAAACTAACTTGGAGGGAGTTCGGTTGGAGTTTGTACGTGATTTTGCTTTTAAGAACTACATTGAATAATATTTACCGGCATGTGCAAGGTCCCCGGACCCCGGCCCCTGGCCTCCTCTTTCTCAGATATTTTTCCCCATCTGGCTTTCAGCACTTGAACTTTACTTAGCTTCTTGTGGGTTTCCCCCAGCCCCAATTCGGTGTATTTTCCCCACCCAGCTTTTCATTCTCGGTCCTCGTTTTTCTAGCTTAGCCCGGCGCTTCAAGTGGCGCGCACAAGAGCTTCGATTTTCCAACTGAAGGTATGGCACTGGATGTATGTATGCGGTTGCCTGATGTTGTCACCCCACGAGGAGAGGCCTTAAGCGCTTCACTTTTCATAGCAAAAACTAGAAGATTGTAGAGATTAAGCCCACACCCACCCATTTCGCCAACCCCTGACGACCTGCGACCTCCAGCTAAAGCCTCTTTTTTACACTTACGAAAAGGGCTTGGAAAGTAAAGAAAATGTTATCTAAATAAGGCAAATATTGAAGGTGCAGTTTAAAATTAAAGTAAGCCCAATAGTTGCTGAAACTTAATTGAATTTGTTGCCTAAAATGGAATTTTTTGAATTGGATTTTCAAGATTTGATTTTAGATTTTTTATAAATAGCTACAATATCTTTTAAACTATTGAGATAATATTTTGTTCATGTTTTTATCACATTCTTTAATTTTTAATGTCTGTAACATATTCTTAAAGTAAAATAACGTAAAGAAAAATACAATTAAAGGTTCAATTACTAGACAAATATTATCTTTATTGTTAGATCATTGTATATTTAAGGGATTGAAGGTGTGCTCCCATAGTTCATCTATAAAGTTATCTATATTTATTTTTGTTTTAATATTTAATTTTGAATTTTATTGCAACTTCTGTATCTTTTTTTTCTCTGTGCACTTATCGCACCTTCTTCGCTCTGTGATTTGTATGCGTTCACCGCCTTCAACATGGCCCCAGCTAATGTTGGCTTTGGCTTTGCCCTCAGGGCTACACAAAAGTGGGTGGCAGTGGGTGGCAAGTGGGCGGCAGTGGCCTTAAAAGGGGAGGTCGAGACGGGGGAGGGGGGAGGGTAGGGGAGGGGTACACGCGAGTGCCAAAGTTAACTCCACCGACGGCAGCCGCCATAAGCTCCGTACGCCTCGCACTAAAGGCTCTGAAATGGCGCCCTCTCGTTCGCAGCTTTCCCTTTGAGCAAGTAGGTCTGTGCGTTTTGCCGGCGTGTTTGTGGCATAAAATAAAGATAAATGCGAGTTCTTTACAACGCAGCGGCGAACACTTTGAGTTTGGGCGCCACCACCTCCCCCATTTTCCCCAGAATCCGCCCCGTCTACGAACGCCCCCTTCACACTTTCCAAAAGCCAAGCACTGTGGCCAGCGTGTGTTTGTTCTAGTGCGTGGAAAAGTTAACTAAAGTTTTGGTAAATGCAAAATAAGTTCATTTTGTATGCTTCGTTTTGCTGAGAATATATTTGGTTTGCCAAAAATATTTGGGGAAAGGAAGGAACATTTGTAGAAGGAAATAGTTTTCAAAAGAAATATTTATGAAATGAAATAGTTTGGAATATTTTTACAAGAGTATTTACAAGATCTTCAGGGCTAGTTAGGACTCAAATTTACCAAAATTTACAGAAGATTCACTGAAAATAGGATTGAAATCATTTGAATGCAGTTTAATTATTATATTTATATATTTGGATTCAAAGGATCCTATAAAAATTATGTTTTTTTAATAAATGTAGTATCTAAAATATATAATTATTATTCTAATTGAATATAATATTTTTATACAGCTGGAGTGTATGATATATTTAATCGGAAGCTTAAACTAAGTGAATGAATAATTTCTGACCCTATAAATCATATATATTATTGATCAGCATCAACAGCGGAGTCGATCTGTCTGTGTCAGGTTGAATAACATTTTTTTGTTTAATTTTTACACTTTATTTAATTTAAAAAATAGTACATCAACTGGAATAGTTATTTACTATATTCATAATTTACTTTATAAAAATATACGAATTGCAAAACTGACAGCCACCCACTGGCAGACTCAACTTTGAAGCAAATGAGGCAACACTTCATGCTGGTTAACAGGTTTCCCAACATTATAGCCACCACTGTGCCACGAGGACACACCTTGTTTTAAGGTCCTGTTTAGGGAACTGTGGGGTCGAACGGGAGGGGGCTTCTGCTGTGGGGAAGGATTGCCTGTGGCTGGTATCAAAAAAGCGTCACCGGCAGCCCTAAAAAACTTGTGGATGGAGTTGGTCTAGGAGCCAAGGGGAGTGGAGCGAAGTGGTTTTGCGGTTGCGAGTTTTAGATTTTCTTCTTATTTTAGCCTTTTTCCCCCACCGGTATGTTTGTGTGTGTGTGTTACCCCAAAAATGCGACCAAAGGATAGCAAAAAAAAGAAGCACACACATTTCTAAATATACAGAGGGGGAAAGATATACAAAAAAAATATATATAGAAGGAGAAAAGTTGCTTTGCATAGAGCGAAAAATGTTTTTCGCTATGTTTATCTGCAGCGGCCCATCTCTGGTGTAAATGCCACGCCTCCCAAAGCCCCCCAAGCCGCCCCTCTTTTTGATATTAGCGCTTGTTTATGGGTCCCAGTATGTATGTATATGTTGTGTGTGTGTGTGTGGGGCATGCTTCGTCGCATTTTAAATTAAGCTTCATTTTTATTTCTATTTACATTTTGCTCTTTCGCTTCTTTTTCCCCCTCCCAGCCCCTCCTTTTGGCTGCAACTGTTTGCCCAAGAAGGAGCAGCAAAAGTTTTTCCAGACATAGAGGGCCACGCCCCCATCCACCTCGCTCCTACTCACATTTTTATTTGTTTTTCATTTTCACTTTTATTATTGCAGCATTTCTACAATATTTTTTGTTGATGCTTTTGTTGTTGCGTTTATTTATTTTGAGCGGCGCCAAGTGAAATGTTTGATTTATTTTTTATTTGCCATTGAATGTGTTTATTTATGTGTTGTGCCTTTGCATTTTATACCCGGCATTTAAGGATTACGAAGGTATATAATTTTTTCCAGGAAATGTGTGAAGATTTAGGGGAACTTATATTAGTTGTCCGAAATATACTAAGCTTGAGGATACATGTACTATTAACTTATTTTTTTTAAGTTATAAAAAATATTCTAGGTAATTTCTGAGTATATATAATTTTTTATAGTTGTATATTTCCATTCCAATATTTAATTCAATATATTAAGTCATTCCTATGCACTAATTTTTAGCAATATGTAACTCCTCTGAGAACCCGAAAAAGTAGGCAATGTTTTTTACAAACTGCTTCCAGAGTATTCTTTGGTCGACAAACTTCACTGTTTATTTCCTGTCTTGCTTTTTTGCTTCTACTTTTTTTGCTACTTCGCTCTTTTACAGGCTTACTCCATTTCAGCGCTATTTGGGCTTTTATTTATTTCTCCGTCGCTATCCACGTTTTATTTGCCGTTTTCATATGCCTGTTATTGTAAGCTGCAGTAAATTGGAAAATTTTTAAGTGTTTTTCTTTTTTACTTTATTTTGTTCCCGTAAGCTGGAGTAAGATTTGTTTCATTCTGGGAATTAGCTTTGTGAGCATGATTTATGACAGGAAACCGTCTGAGGGGAGGCTGAATGTTGATCTCATTCCGGATTACACAAATGAGTTTTTCTATTTGAATATATAATTTTTGGGTGGGCGGGGACTTCGCTGATTCGGATAAGCTTTTCTATTTTATAATGTTATTGCAAAATCAGTCCTCTCTATGTGATTTATATAATTAAAGTAATTGGTTTTGGTATTTCTAAAATGATTTAAATATGGTTTAATCCTTTTAATGGTTTTAGTTGTAGAGCGAAAAATAAAATGTTTATTGAAGTGCAAATTAGTCGATTATTCAAATTTATATTCGTTTTTGAGGAGTAATCTATGGAGGTTGTGTCAAAGAGATTATTTAATTAAATGCTAAACTCTTGTTGGAGCCAATTGAATTTAATAAATGTTGATTAGTTCAGTATTAAATTAAATAAATCACATTTAAGAGACTCAAAAGTTTACCAAATTTTGTTGTGGCAAACCCATAACCAATTATATCTTTTAGTACATCATCCTAAATTCATAAATATTTATTTATTAAGATCAAACATTTTTGCCAAGTCAATAAACTGTCGATAAGCTCTCCCCTTTCTCTTAATTTCACAAATACTCAAAGTAAATGTTGTTTCTTTTTGAGACAACTTAATTAAGTGAAACGAAAGGCAAAGCATCCACTTCTAATTGAAGCATTCTCCTTCAAAGAGGAGCTTTGGCATAAAAAGAAGCTCTGGTTGGTCAGCAAAAAAAAAAAAATGCCAATTGCTGAACATAAATTCATTTCTCGTTTTGCAATGATCCAAAGAGGAAATATGAAAATTCCCCCCACTTATCCTTCTTATGGTTTTTCATTCCCAGGTTTTTATTTTTGGGAGTCTGTCTGTGTGTGTTTTTGCAGCTTCACCGCAAAAAGTTGATGGGGGAAAAAAGCGGCGAAAAATCGGGAAAGGGAAACGTGAAAAGTTGGATTCAGTTATCGAGGCTTACCACCGAGTTGACTTTAAGGAGACTTTAAAAAATATATAAGAGGGTACCCCGAAGAGCCCGGAACTAAGCGGATTTTGATTTGTTTTTCCTGCTGTCAAACAAAGAAATGTGCTTAAGTTGTTTGTGCCGGCAAATTCCCTGATGCTCTTAACTTTTCCCCAGTCACTGAATTTTCCACCTCCAACCGCCGCCGCCTCCTCACCGGGGGCTTAAAAGCGGAATTGACATTTGTCAGCGGGGTTTTTGAAGGCTCGTTACATAAGTTTTCCCCTACCTGACAGACAGAGCATAAATATACTTTACAATATGGCCCCAGCCGCAGCTTCAAATTGGATGAGTTTTAATTAATTTCGTCATTACAATAATTAATTGAATGCCTGCTGGAGAAGAGAGAGAGTGCGGCTCAAGGACATGTTTGCCCAAGTGGCGCTGGTTGCGCAGCTGCAACAAATTGCAATATATTTTACAGCTACTTAGTCGGCATTACACATGCACTGCAGGAGCCAACTTTTCGACGGCACTGTGTGTGCGACTAGTGTTTGATTTATGGCCAGCCATCGGGCCTGTAAATAAGCGAAACCGAAACCGGAATGGGATCAAATGCGTGTGGTGTCCTTGGGGCGGCAAAGGGGCAAAATTAATGATTTACCATCGTACTTTGTGCATTTCAATGCCATATTAAATGCAGAAATAAAGTGAGCAAACAGTTCGTAGGCAAAATATTTATTCTAGATTTTCTATGTATACATTTTCTTGATTTACTTAGCTTTCTATGAATTATTTGTATCTCATATAACTTCCTTAAACACAACCATTCAAGTGCTTTAAATCCATTTAAAATTACCTTAAATTAAGCCATATGAAATGGTTGGCTCAGCTCCTTTAAATCAGCATTTACTCTGGCCAATTTAACTTCAGTTGCCATACGGCCAAAGCCATATTCAAACAGAATATCTAAGATGGCTTATCTCATACGGACTAGCCATCTGAAACCATTTCGCAGAGCGAGCTCAAACTGGTTTAATCTGGGAAAATACGCCTATAAATAGCTCAAGGAGCCGCCCATACCAATCCTCATGGTCTCCGCTGCGATATGCCACAGCCTCAGCTTGCTACAGGATTATGGCTTTTCCTGATAAATCTGTCGCACATAAAGCACCACAACGAACGACTGTTGAACTAGTTTCAACATTCATGGTCTTCTGCACATGAGGATGTACAGTGAGAGAAAGGATAGCAATTTCGTTTCGTTTTAAATGTGTTTTTTTAAAACGTAAATGTATCTTTAGGAGAGGAGCATTTGAAAATAAGTAGGAAATTAATTACAGAAGGTTTTCAATAGTGTAAAAGTATTTTTATGTTTCGAATTTATAGCGAACAATATATTAAACAAACAATCAATATTTAAAATAATACACCTCATTGAAATAATTAAATAGTTTCTTTATAATTTATACATCTTTGCCTGGAGAAATTTCAACACTTTTCTCTGAGAAAATTCTTCTTTTGAAGTACTTATTTTCTCTGTGCCTCGAGTAATTCATGGGGCGACACTGCGTCTTCAGTTGGGTTGACAAACTGCAGAGATAAGCATGCGAAGGGCGGCAATACTCGAAGTACAGAGCCAGTCATGAATGTATGACCAGTCCGAGACTCATCCCCCATACCAGTGGCAGCAGCACTCGACTCTGCTCAATGGGTGTCCCGTCCAGTCCACTGGAAGCAATCAACTGTGAGTTGTCAGCTGCCAAAATCAGTGGCCAAGAGAGAGTTACTTGGGCTAGAGCCCAGGGAATGGGGCAACCGGGCATTAGTGGGTTAGACGCGGTGAGCCGCAAATCAATCGGTCTCCCTCCCAACTGAATTCGGGCAAAACAACAGTGCTGCCCTTTGAAATGCTTTGTCAATTATATAATCTCATTCTTCTTTTTATTGGGCCATCGAATTCAATTGCATGTAAAAGTTATTGTCCCCCTCAGACATTTATTCAATTTGCCAAATGAATTATGAATGGCTTGACCCGGATAAAATGCGAAATTGAAATGATTCGATTAGCCGGCAGAAGTCCTTGTTACCGCTTTTGCATTTGCCATGCCATTTTCAGCTCGTAAATATTTCGACCATGCGAATATGTCTAAAGTGTCGAGTGCACAAATTTGTTGCATACTTTTGGCCAAGCTCATTGAGCGAGAAATTCTTTTCAAGAGGGCCAACAATTCGCAGTTCCACTGAATTTACCAGTTTATTGTTTTAGCCGGGTTTGAGGGGGCGGAAGGATACTCCAAAATGCGTGCGGAATTTCTGTACGAACAATGAATGAGTGTGTGGGTTCAACAATGTATGGATTTTAATTAATATGTTTCCAGCTATTTGGACCCGCTTGAATTATAAATTCTATTTGTGCCATCAGATTTTGCAAACGCCAAACAAATGCTGCAAAGCGAAACCCAGTAAATAAATATATACATATATATGCAAATATATTTGCCAGTAAAGCCAAACAAACAGAAAGTCAGAAGGCTATGGATTAATACATAAAATATGGCATATATTTTTTTCCGATATCCAGAGGCACAGGGCTGTATTGCCAGAGGAGAGAAGCTGCATTTATTAGAACCATTTCGTACAATATAACGATTTAATCCCAGCTAAAGACTTAAAATATTTCAACTAAATACAAAATATTGTTCTTTCGTTATCACTGAAAACATAGGAAAAGGATTACGATTTAACTTGTTTCATTTACCAAAAACCATGTAGTTTTTGATGTTAAATATTGACTATTTTGTGGTCAGCACATTCGAATGTAAAAAGTTATTTCAGAATGTTTGTTGAACCAAACGAATTTAACAATAAAAAATCAACAAACAATCAATAGTATAATGTTTTTCCCTGTTTTCTTTTTCAGATTTATAATCGCCATGTGCCAAAGCCCAACCAAATAGCGGATCAAAAAAAAAACATAGAAAAAGAAAAATCCTGCATTGGATTTCTGAGAGAGGAAAAATCAAATCCGCTGGGTCCCGAAGGGAAATTTTAAGCAAACAAAATGTGGAAAATCTGCATTTTTACATTGGTAATTGCGGTGGTTGTTGCAACAACTCTGCCGGCAACACCAACACCAACAACATCAGCAACACCAACACCATCAGCAGCAGCAGCAACAACAGCGCTCCCTGGAAAAACCATAACAAATGACTCCGGCCACGCCTCTTTGGAGGCCACCAGCAGCCGCCCCCTGGCCGAAAATCGTACGCTGTTGAATATGGCCAGGGAAACGGTCGAAATTTCAACTGTGGGCGGTTCAACCTCAACGGCCACGCCCACCACGACGGCCACAACCAGTACAACAACAACGCAGGCAACAACATCAGCAACGGGAGTGGTGATGCTGCCGGAAAATGAGGAAACACGAAAAGCCAAGCTAATGACAAACGCCCAAAAAATGCCTTTAGCTGGTTTGGGTGAACTGAGCGGCATCAAGGATGCACTGTATCGGATTAAATTGAGCGAGAAGCCACTAGAGGCAACAACTGATGCGCCACCAGCAACAGCAACAGCAGCAGCAGCAACAGCAACATCAACGACCATTACCACAGAACAACCGGAAGCCGAGGATCAGAATGATGCCGACGAGGTGGATGGAATGGCACCCACGATTTCCCCCCTTCAAATTCAAATGCAGGCAGCTGCCTCATATCAAGTAGCCGAGACGTTGGCCGACCTAAATGAGGAGGAGCGTGCTCGATATGATGCCATGTTGGCGCAACAGCCCACAGCAAGCAAACTGAATATTGTGGATTTATATCCCCTTAAACTTGATGATTTCCAACCCATTATTCAGAACGATAATGAAGAGCTGATCAAGCAGCGTACAGTTTTCACTCAGCCGGAAAATACTGAAGAATACAAACAGAATCTAATGCCCAATGAGGTCGAGTTGATCATCAACAAGGAAGGTGGCGATGGTGGCATTGAGACACTGGAGAAAATCAAAATTAATATAGCCAAAGTAGAGGAAAACATCCCAGCACAACGACCACGACGAGTAACTCAAACCAGGGCACGACGGCTGATTTTACGGGTAAACTGCTGGCCGATCAAGATGATTTGATCACGGAAATTGAAAGCAAATTCCAGCTGCATGAAACTACAACTGCCAAGCCCAAAGTTGCCATTAAACTACGACCGGGAGATACTTTCATCGATCGGCGGGTGAAGAAGAGTTTCGAATTCCCCATGCAACATCGAGCCAGCGATGTGATGGCCATGCCGCATATTGACTTCGCAAACACCAAGTTCCAAACCGATGTCGATGCCCCAAATCCACCGGCCTCGCATCCCGAATTTTCCACCACAAAGTTCTACAACAGCAAGGAGCTGTACAACGAAATGCTGCTGCATAATAAGCGCAAGTTAATGAAGGCAACCAAGGATGCCAAGGATGCTAGGGCTGACGGCAGTCCGATAAAGTCAGCGGAGGATACAACTCAGGCCGCCAACTTGAACGTGACTCCGGAAGGGAAAACTTTTACGCCGACAGCAACAACAGCAACATCAGCAACTGGAACCAGCAGCACAACAACACCAAAATCACCAACAATAATAACAACAACAGCAGCAGCAGGAGCAGCCGGTGTTGAGTCAACAACAAGGACAACTGACAGTCAGACAGGAACTACGGCAACCACTGGAAAATATCAGAAAGAGCTTAAGCGTGCCAAATTATTGCTCAAGGCCCTGACACCGCCCAAGTCCGACAAACTGGCAGTTGTCTCGGCCAAAGTTAAAGCCGCTAAAGTAGAGGAAGAACCAACCGCCGGTGAATCCCCATCATTGACTTCAACATCAACATTGTCATCGAAGGCAGTGCCTTCCACAACGACCACTACCATGACCAGTCCCATGCTATTGGCCACCGCAAGGACGCGTCCACAAGCGGCTAATCCCACTAAGACGGCCTCAAAGCCAATTGCCAGCCGCGCATTTTAAGTCGCCTGCAGGAGAAAATCAATTCGCTTGAATGCGAGATCCCCACGGTGCCGCAGGACTCGCATCTGTGGCGCGGCAATGAGACCCATGAATTGCTGCTGCCCATTGTGGTGAGTGCACTTGGAGAAACTATTATTGAAATTCTAAAATAAAAATATTTTAATTTAAATTTAAGCTAAACATTTCACTTAGCCTTCTTTTCTTTCTGTTATCTTTATTTTGAAAGTCTAACTTACTTCTCCATCAAACTTACACAGTATTATTCTCAGTACATTCCGTTTAGGGATTTGCCATGCCAATGTTATCAAAACAATTGAAGGCCTTATTAAGTTCTTATCATTAGACAGACAAAAGAGCACACAGGAAGCAAAGAATGGAAGAAAAGACAGCTTAGTGAATGGACTGGTGGGGGAACACACGGCGTATGCGTGTTATTTGAGTAAGCGGGTTAAGCAATTAGCTGGCGGTTAGGAGATGGGGAAACGGTAGAGGAACATGGAGGCGGGATCTCGGAAAAACTGGGGGTCGACTGACTAACGGACTACATTTACATAATATGCCTGCTGACGGCTAATTAGTATGGTGGAAGCTTAGTTTTTGGGCTCCGACGAACCCAAGGATTAAGCCAAGAAAGGAAACGGGAATCCCTAATGAAGCTGCTGAAGTTCTACCAAGCAAAAGCGAATAAAGAAAAGATTGATTAGGGATTGAGTTCACATAGAAATCATTTACGCGTGCTAGAGAGGGGAAATGGGCAAGCTCAAGAAATTGGGTAAAGGGAAAGGGAAAGCAACCCAAAAACATTCTTCAACTTTGTCAACCGACAACCGACAGCCGACATTCGATATCCAATTTCCCTTCGAACAACAGAAACTGGTTAAAACTGTTTGCTCGGCTAATTGAAAACCTTTTAGAGCTGAGACAATTTTGCAACCGAAAGAAATCAATGATGGCAGGCAGCAGCAGCCACATAAATAAATAACAATCGCATTTGGAGTTAACATGGACAGGGCAGTCGAATGGACAAGAAAAGGACAACGGCCACGGTAAAGGATTCTGTGAAAAACGAACCCTGCAAATTTAATCCTCCGATAAGTTGGCCAACAAAGGGAAATTATTGATCGTCGTTTTATTTGGCCATTTCCGAGGCATCAGTATATATATGTAGGATGTGTGTATGTGATGGGGATTGAGGACTCAAAACAAGTTGACCGGAAAGATGAAGGTTTTCTAGTCCTAGTCCTCATGCAAAAAGGACAAGTCCTGCGGGTGACTTTAGAAAACAGTCCGGTTCGGAATTTTATGGTTAATATGTCAGGTGGATATGATAAACTTAAATCAATGGATTGACTTGAGGAATGATTAATAAATTTTTAAATATTTAAAAGCGCATATAGTATCTTACAATTTTATATTTGTGTTGATTAACTACAAATGATCTGCATAAAAATATAATTAAGCCTAAATATATATTTGAATTAAAGTATTATTTAGTCACCTTTAGTTATTCATCTCAAAGTATTACTTAAATTTGAAACGCACTGTTTGCCTGAGCAAAGAAAAGGGTTATCCATTTCTTTATTAAATCGCATTTGTTGTTAAATCACGAATAAACTAGACAAGGGACCCCATCCGGAGCTCATCTGGCAATTTCTAGTCCGGGTCCCCGAACCCCGAGTCAGGTTCGCTCATATCCCTTTCATGTCCTGTTTATATTGATGTAAATCAAGCCATTTGCCAGGCCAAATCACAGCTGCTGCTTCTGTTGCTGGCCCTTTGGCAAATATTTAAATTCATTTGATGGAAAATGTTCACCCTTTTCATCGGCCAGCCGTTATGCGAGTGTGTTTCGTAGTAGAAAACCTTTGACTAACTGACTGAGGACCGAATGTTTAATTAACATCTGGCCAGGCTGTGTCTATTCAAACAGCTCTCTCTCTCTGTGTGTTTCCAACCGAAATGCCATTAAATTTGATGGCCATTTGAAGGATGCCTTCGCAAGGATTTCGTTTCTTTTGTTAATAAGAAAAATGGGGGCGAAATTGATTTCCTGTTTACCTTTTGGTCAGCAAATTCCAAATGGCAGCTCGGCCGTGAATTTAATTACGAAGCACTGCAAACATTATGCAAACTCTGGTCCACCTGAGAGGAAGAAAATAACATTATAGTATACATTAAGCATTGGCATAAAGTGTACCTTGCATAAAATTAATGCTGACTTCTCTTGGCCACTTGGAAGTCCTTGTGGACATTGCCCAGGTCTTGGTGCATGGGAAAAAAAAGAAAACAATTAAGGAAAACAATTTTTGCATAAAAGGTGGAAACATTTCTTCAGTGCTTTTTTCTGTTTATTCTTCTGTGCAGAGGAGGAGGTCACTGAAAACATTTCTCAACTGAATTTGTTTATTTTGTTGTTTGTTTTTTGGGACTCATTTTGATGGAATTGTTTTTTTCTCTTTTCTCTCTTTCGTTTTCATTTTTTCTCTTTTTTACTTTGGCAGGATTTTAAGTCATTTAAGACCAGTTGAAGTTTTTTAGTTTCAGCTTTTCTCTGAGAGCTTATATTAGCTTAGCTTAATTCAAATGCACTCAATTAGCACTCTAAAAGATTAATAAATATACAGCTTAATAGTTTGGAATTTATTATTTCATTGAACTTTATTTAATATCTATATTTTGTTGTATATATGTTAAGCATTTCGTCATTTTAATTTAAAGCTCGGGGTTACAAAATAACTAAATTGTGTTTAATTTTAACCTTTGCAGGGTATTTAAATTTTAGTCAGAAGCTTGAAACTAAGTGAAATATTTATTTTCGACCCTATAAATAATATATACTCTTGATTACAATTAACAGCTGAGTTGATCTAGACATGTCTGGCTGAAAACAAAATTTTCGAAATTTTTCATCGTTAAAATTTGCAAAAATTGTCAAATATCGTAATTTTTTTAATTGAAAATTGAGTATGCAGATATATTAACATGATAAAAACAATCACATAATAGCTTTCCGAATTAAAGTTATGTCTTTTTTGGCTTTGTTATGAATTTTTAAATTTAAATTTGTCATAAAAATGTTTATATAAAAATGAAAGGGTGTATACATTTCGCCTGCCGAAGTTAGTTACCTTTCTTGTTTTAATTAAAAACCAATCAAATATGTTTTATTGCAAGGCTAGTTTTAATTACCAATATTATCTTTTCGCTTATAAGTATAATCACAAAAAAAAATAAATAAAAACTATATCCAACAAAGCCGCAATATTATTTGAAACGCAAATTTTATAGTATAATGAAAAATTCCATTCTATTTTAATGACCTACATGAATTCCCTATATTTGTGGTTTTAATTTCAACAAATTGCTTGTTTCCAAATATCTCTTCCACCGCCAACGGACTGAAACTTAAACAACAAACAGAAATTTGCTAAATATGTACGAACAACAAATAAAAAAGGGAAATTTATGCCATTACCTCTTGCGGTGTTCATAAAAAAAGCCGACCACAAAACACGCATGTGACCCAAAAAACTTGGCCATTTCCCAACGGGTCGTTCTTCCCTTTCTATATGTAAATATGCAGATTTCCTTTTTTTCTCGTTTTTTCTGCCAAACTGACCAGCAACAATGTAGATTTTTATGTGCGTACAGACAGGCCATTAAAATGCCATAAATTTGAGCTCTGACAAATCCCCCCGACAGTACACAGAAAGCGGTATAAAAAAAAACCGGGAGAGGCAAACTAAACCGCTTCAAATTGCGCAAAAATATGCTAAAATGGCAGGACATAGGAGAGCTCCTGGAAATGGGGCGCATATAATGGCAGAGGGATAACCACAAAGTCGAGTTTCAGCTCGGCCTCATGTATTTTTATTTGTATTCCGATTGCGACGTCCATAACGGTCGGCTTATGGCTGTGGCTTAGCCCAAATTAATAAAAATTTTGGCAACATCAAGTGGATCTGTGCATATGTTGTAAACTTTGCTAATATCCACCCCCGAAAGGCAGCCCCAAATGAACCTTTTAGCCTGGAAGTTTATTAGGTTCGGGATTCGTTGCCTCACTACTTATGTAAATTTGTTTCTGCCACAAAACTAAACCGGCCTTAAAAGGGGACCCCATCTAGATGGTAGACAATGTTGTAAAGGGAAATTAGAAAACTTGCTAAATAATTTAGTGTGGCAAAAACCTTTTAGGCCTCTCAAACCTACGTTTTGTTTGAGTTTTCTAACTTATCTAACCCCGAAATCCTTAATACGTTCTTTCCCAGACCACGGAGCACTGTAAGCCGAATGAGAACTGCATACCGAATGTCCTCACCTGGCGAGGTGAGGCGGAGATCCAGTCTGGCGATATCCTGATTGTTGAAATCAACGATGCCATGCTTAATCCATCGCACGAGCCCAACAACACCAGCAGGTAAATGACAAAGAGCTTAAAATTAAATTGTTAAATTGAAATACATTTGAGGAAGTTCACATTTTGGTTTCAAACAATTGCAACAAACTCTGAAACCGAATAACAATGCGTCAATATACTTTCTATCTCTTTTGATGTTAATGAAAATGCCAACAAAGTTTAAACAATTGATAATGCAATTGTGTAGCAGTTGTTCACAATTTTGTATTAAATGTGTGCAACTTTTTAAGCCCAGGAAAAGTTTTTATTGTAAATATATAAAACCGATTATCAGGATTTTTCTTAGATTTTTTGCTTACAAATTGCTTTTATTTATTATGTGGTTTTTATAAAAAGATGTGAGTGCACTTGTTTAATATCTTTGTTTCCAAGTAACTAATTTATATGTGCTTCGCAAATGTAATTCATTTTAAAATTACACCCAGTGTCTGCCATTGATTCATTGGCTAGGTAAACACAATCCCGATTTCCGATAGAGTCTTTTGGGTGATGCAATTCCCATTTTAAAAAAGGAGCTCGTCTGCCTAAGGTGTCCGACATGTACTCTCCCTCATTAACCAAATCATTAATATCCAACCAGTATCCTTTTCCCTCCTGGAGTTTCCGCGTAATCAGAGACAGCTCCATCTCGTTATGAATGCTCGCCAGGTGACTACCCATTCCGATACAGATGTTGCCAGCATTATGCCAAGTTTCAGTATTATCCGATTCTATATAGAAAAATCTATAACCGATCTTCTCAAACTTCAAGGATTTTGTCGTCTGGTTTAGTGCCATCTTCTCTAGGATAATCTCAATTCTGTTAAGCTTTTGTAACAGGGTTTCTAGCTGCTTTTCCACTTTATCTTGTCCTATCCTTAAAATATGAAGTTGTCTTTCAATATTCTCCAGTTTTGCTTGACTTCCTGGGGACTCTGCCAGCAAATCAAAGAAACACCCAGCAATTGTTGCGTAGAACAAAAGAAACGCGCACTTTGTCATTCTGATTTACGCAGAGGAAAGTCTATTGTGCCACTGATTTCTTATGGTTCTGTGGGAGAAGTATTTATAGATGAAATTTCTTATCAATTGCTACGGCCAATGAATCGAAAAATATATGTATAACTTTCTGTCTGAGACCAGATTTGTTTGGAAACAGCAAGTGTGTTTTCTGATAAGCGAGAGTAATACATTTCTTAATGAATCATTAATTTGAATAATAAGTAATTAAAGCTAATTAACTATGGTAATTTTTGTAAAAATAATATTAATCGGGAAACTAAACTATAAGCTATATTATTTTCTAAACTTTTCAACCTTGTCTGGGTTTCTTTTAATTTAAAACAATGATGTATAGCGGCACGGTTAACTTGAAATCTGATAAAAAATCTGACTTTTTGTGAGATCTAAAATCGTTAAGAGTTCCAATTTATTGACAAACGCTTCGATTACAAAAATCCCCCAAAAGAACAGTTTCCCTTCTTGTCGGTCTCACTGATAGGAAAAGCGAGTGGGGAAAAAGCGTAGCTAACCGATACCTGTCGACTGGCGGTGATGTATGTAGTTGATCAAAGCAAGTGACTTGGCGACGCAGGACACTCACACACACACAGTCATTATGTGCCACCCATCAGCAGCATCATCAGCATCATCAGCAGCAGCAGCATCCACATCAACACTTCCCGGCAGCCAGTGGCAGCCACTGCTGGTGCTGCCTCATCATTGAGCTCATCATGGAGCGACCCTTTCGCTGTGCAGCAGCCCCTTAACTTTGACAGCAGCCCCAGACACCTGAGCTTACTTGAAGCTAGAAAAAGGGGGAAAATTGTGCACACCTCACCCTTCTGAAAAAATAAAAATAAAATCACTCCCGTATTTTTACACCTAGTTTGCAGGTTGAGTTCTTTCTTCTCCTTTTTTTTATTTATTTATTTTCAGTTAAGCGCTTTAATGCGCAGTGAAACGTGTTTGTTGGGGGGCTTATTATATAATAACGTCCATTAAGGACCTTTATTGATTTTTCTTCAGCACGTCTGACCGAAGAGCAGAGATATAGATAAACACAGTGAGAAAGAGATACAGAGTTGGGTTGGAGATGGAGGCTGAAATAGTTACTGGTCCCAGACACGTTCTACCATTATCATGCCCCTTTTACAGTTTATTAAATTGTTTTCTCCAACACTCCACACGCTCTGTCTAACTCTCCTTTTGGGTTGGTCTCTGTATTTCTTTTCGCAAAAATTTTTATTTCGCCTTTGTTTATTTTATAATGCCGCACAAAAATCCCCATTACAAACTGTGCATATAAATGCGATAGAAGACAGTTTCTTTCTTTTTAACACACGGAAAATAATTTTTAATAGATGTATTTTGTTATAAATAAATAAATATTAATTATACTGGGTATTTGCTTTAAGCGTATTTATCAAGTCAAGGGTCTAGTGTGCACTTATAAAATTTATTTTAAAACGTTAAGAAATGCAACAGTATTTATATTATTTATATTTCTGAATTATTTCCGCCAAAAGTAAATAAAATACGATATAAAACAAAAATGAAACTAACTTGAAAAAACGAAGTTTTTATACCCTTTAAATATAAAATCGTATCGGAAATGGATCATAATTAAGCTTAAAATATTCCCTTTCTTTAAAACTATATTTTTTTATGAGACATTTTTTGACAATTCGAAATTTAATAAACTCATAATTAAAGCCAAAAGCTAGATAAATTTGCCTGATGATTAGAGTAGAATAGAATAAAAAATATATAGTTTATACTATATTGAAAGCTCCTAACTAAAATTTGAATACCCTACAAAAGTATAAAATTAACCCAATCTTCCTACTACAATAATTTGTTCCCTGTGTAGTCCTTGCTGTTGACCATTAGTCATTGGGCAGGACGTACAAACACCACAGCTGGCTGACCCTTTTTGCCATGGCAATTATCACGTTTCTCTTGGTTTTTGCTATCATTTTTGCCCCCAACATTTTTTACCCACTCTCTGGCCAGCCTCTGCACACACATTTTTTGCTCTTTTTAATTTAGCTCGGTGGCTGGTTCTTATCTTATCGCTTGATAGATGCCGCCGCCGAGCATCAAAAAAGTTTTTCGCCCCGAAAAAGAAGCGCAAGAAAAATTAAAATTCATTTGTCGAACTTTGGGGCCAGACATCAAACGCGACCGCGCTGGAAATTTTCCGGTCCACGCTATATATATTCTGATATATATATATATATATATGTATTCTTTCCTTATTTAGCCCGAGGGCCTCGCAACTTGAAATGCCTGGCATAAGTTTCGATTCCTGTAAGTTTCCCTGGGGGCAAAATAAGACCGCAAACAATCGAGTTAGTTGAGGAGTGAAAGTGAGGCGAAAAAGTGTAGCATACAATTGAGCGCTGGGCCGCAGAGGAAACTTCCCGCCAACTATGAAAATGAGATGTCAAAAAAGTTTTTATTATCGATTTATTATGTGTGTGTGTATATATGGGGGTGGGGTGTGTGTCTGTTGGCCAAGTTAACAAATGCAATAGCAACAAATAATAATGCTAGGACGAAGCCAGCCAAGGCAAGTGGGTAGCAAATAGATTGCCAGAGCTCGAGGTAGTGAAAACTTTCCGGGCTCGCAGTTTTCTAACAAGTTTTTCCTCGTTCTCTTTTTTTTTTTTTGTAACATCCCTAAGTTGACTACGTGTTGTTTGAAAAATTGCAAACTTGGTTACTATATGAGGTGTCTTCCTTCTGTTTGTGTCTCTGTTTGTGTAGAAATCGTGAGGGTTTCTGATAAGAACTACAGTGTTCTCCAAAATGAGATTAAAAGAACAAAATAAGACTTCCACTTACCTATATTAAGTTTTGCTTCTCAATTTATTATAACTTAATGGATTTTTTGTGGTTTATTAAAATCTCTAGGCCACATTTTATACTGTGTTAATTTGCGGCAATTTAAACTCTATTAATAAATTCCCATACGGTATAAGCTGCCACAAAAAGTAACCGCAACGAAGGCCAGGAAAATGGAGGGAGCTGGAGGATTTTCAGCCCGAGAAAGAAACCCTTTTTCCCGAGTCAGCCTCCCTGCCTCAACTAATTTCATTTCCGTTTTTGTGCTATTTAATTTCCGCTAGAGCAAGGCGAGCGAGAGAGCAACTGCTTATAAATAAATTTCAATTAATTAAGCATACAGATACAAACACACACAGACAGTAGAAAACCAAGGAGAATACCGCCGACCGAGACCAAGTTTCTTTTGACGTCTTTGGTCATATTTATAACTTAAACAAGCAAAGAGAAGCCATTTAACTTGGCCGCCACCTATCAGCCTCACATTACCCTAGACACAGTGAGAAAATTGTATTAGATAATTATTATAAACTGGGGAATATATAAAAGTTGATGGTTATAATCATACATTCTATATAGTTATAGTCTTTATGAAATAATTTAAGAAATTGTTATTAATTTACTCATTGTACATTTTTCTCTCTGTCTCTATTTTATCCTTCGCTTTATTCTCACCTGGATGCTGGCACAATAAACGTCAACGAGCAGCGCTGTACATGCCACACAGGTGTATCAGGTAACTCGCTCCGGCCACGAGCATTGCGATGTTACCGAGGGCGTCCTGCTGGATATCACACCGTTGGTGGTCGATGGCAGGAAACTGGTTACCCTGTACGACAAGGACCTCACCGAGGGAGTTAACTTGCTAATTGGTGAGTAGACTCGTCCTGGCACACTTACCGCTCCACGGCAGTACTAACTTTGCGGTGAAGGTGGGTTTTTTTAAGCAGGCAAATTAGCTTACTTTAACTACTTTGAAGTGATGAAGAGATGCCTCAAATGATTCACTTTATTTTCTAAAAATTGCAAGTTGAAATTCAAGGCTTTAAAAGTATATATACTACAGGCAAATTATGGAAAAATGAAAGAAAGAATGAAGAAGGAATATAATCATTAATTAGTTGATAGTGTACAAAATATTTTTCTATATTTATTGTTTCTTTAACTTATTCCTTAATACATTATACTGTGAAAGTGTATGTTATAAGATACCAAAATGTTTCCTTAGCAGCTATCAACACCTGCTGATGGAATTACCAATGAGTCTGTATACCTTTCCAGGTGTTAGGGTATTCCATCTTCATCTTTCCCAGAGGCATTGCATCTACTGTGTCCCCTTTGGGGAGTCATTTTTTGCCTTCCCTATTTGTGGTTCCCGTTCGGCCTATTAAATACCTTTTTTCGCTCCCTTGCCTGCCAGCCTTCGTGTATCCTTAATTAATATGAACCTCTATTTTATCCCCATCCTCCGCTCTGTGCCGCAGTGGTGTCCGAGCTGTGGGGAGCGCAATGTGTCCGCCTGAAGGTGACCACGAAAACCGACAACTGCGGCGAGAATGCCGATTGCTCCGGCAAGGGAGTCTGCTACTCGGACTCTGGGATGGAGGAGTACGAGTGCCAATGCTGCAGCGGATTTGCTGGACCACACTGCGAGGAGATAGATGCGTGCAACCCGAGTCCTTGCACCAACAACGGCATCTGCGTGGATCTATCGCAGGGCCACGAGGGCAACTCCTATCAGTGCCTGTGTCCGTACGGTAAGGTCATTAGCTTCCAGCCTCATTAGTAATGGCTGCCACCGATAATATGCCATTAATATGCCATCATATTCCATCTGTACTCCTGCAGGATATGCGGGCAAGAACTGTCAATACGAGTCGGATCCCTGCAATCCCGCCGAGTGCATGAACGGTGGCAGCTGTGTGGGCAACTCAACGCACTTTCGGTGAGTCAAAGCCAAATAATAGAGGACACAAAAGCACAAAGAAAGAGCTAAATGAATTAGACGGCGGAGGTTTACAGACACTCTGAGAAATATTAATAATATTTAAGTATAAAATATAGATTAATTTAGCTTACACGTATTGAATGAATTTAAGGAATTTAGGTGTCAGTTAATTTGTTGGTTTGGGAAAGAAATATTACAAATATTTAAGGATAAAATATACGTTAGTTTAGCTTAGATATATTGAAGGAATTCAAGGAATTTAGGTGTTTGTTAATTAGTTTGGTTGGGAAAGAAATATTACAAATATTTAAGTATACCATAAACATTAGTTCAGCCTTGAATGAGTTCAATGAATTTAGGCGTTAGTTAATTAGTTTGTTTGGGAATGAGAATGAAGAGGTATGATTATCCTAAGTGGGATATAATAAATAATTGACAAAATATAAGTAAAAACTTATCGTATATTTATGGAGCAAGTCTTAAACAACGCTTAATTTTCTTAAGGCTAATTAGAAACTATTGTTGCAACTATTTAAACCTTGTTTAAGAAAAGTCTTTAAACCATTTCCCTTACTAAGCAAATACAGCATCCTTTGCTGAGTTTCTAGAATATAGGAATACAATATTTTTTCGAGTGCAAAGTACACATTCAGTGGGGAGCCTCAGGGAGCAGGAGCTGCGGTGTAGTAACAGTAGCAGTAGCAGCTTTCATTCAATTATCGTGACCATTGTTTTGCGGTTCTGTCTAGCCGTCGCCGTCTGTGTTTGCTCATAAATGTTGACTTTTGTCGCATGTTCAAAAATTCACAATTTCTCCATTTCTCTCCTCTTTTATTTTTGCATTCTTTTTTTCGCCATCTCCCTGCCGTATTAACCCCGCCGCTTGCAGCTGCGATTGTACGCCCGGCTTCACAGGACCTTTATGCCAGCACAGCCTGAATGAATGCGAGTCCTCGCCGTGTGTTCACGGCATCTGTGTGGACCAGGAGGATGGCTTTCGATGCTTCTGCCAGCCAGGTGAGTAAATGTGGCAACAGTTTCAGCCAAATAAACGCAAATTGCGAACGTTCTTTTGTTGACTCGCTGGCAAAATCGCTCCCATAATGCCAATATTTTGTGAGTTATCATCGTGGAAATTTCACACAATTATTGTTGGCTTTTGCAGGGATCTATTATATATTAAGTTTTTCAGTTTCATGGGAGAGGGGAATTTTTCCTAAAATTGAAGCTGAATTCCGTGGAAATTTTGTGGTTATTTAAATTTTAAACAAGAAAGGCAACTAACTTTTAGAATACGAAGTTTGAACTATAGGATCGAATCGGAAAGAAAACAACAAAATATCAAATAATGCTTGGTTTTAGATACTTGAGAGAAATGTGTTTACTACACTATTAATTTTAAAAAATAGTTGGAAAATTGCCTCATTTTCATATCGTTTTTACATAATCGAAAAAGCATTAATGCATAATATTTTATCATTATTAAATATACTTATAAATTGAAGTCTTAGAACCTTACTTGTTTCAACAAAAAATGCTGATTAAGAAATCGAATTTGAATCGATTTAATCTTCTGCTTGTATTACACTCAGCTCAATCAAATATTAATCCAAATCGATTTTTCATGTTTAGCACGTAGAAATACATTTTTATTGGCACACGAAGCTGGTTTTGGTAATTTTCCTACGAAATCCACGTACTTTAAGGCAATCAAATTGCGATTCCGAAATTGAATTGAAATCTGTGCAAATCAAAAATCTACATTGAAGCTCATAAATTATTTCATTGGCACAAACACAATTTGCATAAATCGCACTCAATCACAATGAAAATAAATGTACATAAAGGTCGCTGAGACAGAGACGAGGGCAATTTTTTTCTTTTGGGAGAAAGTCGAGACAGGGCGCTGTCTTCGGGCCAAAAGGAATTTCTCCATTGAAATTTCCATTTCATTTACTTTTGCACATTTACATTACCCGCAACCTGCTCACTCACCTCTTCCATCGGACTTCTGTCTCGCAGGATTCGCCGGCGAGCTGTGCAACTTCGAGTATAATGAATGCGAATCGAATCCGTGTCAGAATGGCGGCGAGTGCATCGATCACATTGGCAGCTACGAGTGTCGCTGCACGAAGGGCTACAGCGGCAACCGTTGCCAAATTAAGGTGAGTGAACACAATGGCCAAATAGATATAAAATGGTTGTCTTTTCTTTCTTTGGGATAAACCGAGGGAGGAAATACCTTAAAAAAGAAGCTACATATAAAAGGTTACAAGCAACACTGCTTTAAGTATTTAAAATATGCAAAGAAGCAATGAGGTGCGAAATCGCAACATTCAAGTCTTCAATGAATGACGAATCTCTAGAGAACCCATTAGTTGATTCACGATTCCCTGAGATAATCAATATTTTGTATTGAAAACAAATCCCGCGACAATTCCCCAGTGTGTAAAAGTCGAAGGACCCCAACCGTACGCCAGTTGTCTGCGGAACTTGAACGGTATTGATTTAATTTGCTCAGAGCAAGGACTCGCGCTGCCGCACACACAGGCATAGGAAATGGGATTCCCACATGTGCGTGTGTGTGTGTGGGGCGAGAGTATCCTTCAGATACGAATGCTGGGAAAATACATTTTTGAATACGTAATGAAGTTTCAGCGAAGCTCCTCCGCTCCACACTCCCCTATTTCTATCTCAACTCAGCCACAATATGCTTTGATTTGTGCCGATTTTTTTCATTTTCATTCGTTCTCCCTCCCTGCTCTATAGGTTGATTTCTGCGCCAACAAGCCTTGCCCCGAAGGACACCGCTGTATTGATCATGGAAATGATTTCAGCTGCGAATGCCCGGAGGTCGCAATGGACCGGATTGTAATCAAATGCCACGAACGGTAAGTCATGATTTATGCAGTTTCTGGGTCTCTGGTTTGAGTTCTCTGGCTCTGGCTTCGTCGCTTTTCGGGCTAGACCTTGTTGTTTGGCAAAAATGCCAGCAAATAGCCACAAATTGTTTGGCCTACTACTGTGCAGCGGCATAATTGTAGGCAATCTTGTTCGCTTCACAAACTGCTGCTGCACAATTTCATACACACAATTGCTTCTTTTTTATTGTGTGCGGTTTGCTGTGCATTTTTAAGCTGATTTACGACTCCAAAACTGGTTGGTTTAATGAATTGCTTTGTGTGGGGTTTCTTATTGAAATTGATATGCCATGTCAGAGTTCTCACTGTTTTATCCTGGCAAATCAGAAACAGAGTAATGTAATTGCATTTTGAGGTACAAGAAATAAAGAGAAATAGGGAAATAATAATATGCTTTCCACTTAGATCAACTTTTAATGAAAAGTACTAAAGTTCTGCCTGCTGCCATTTAATATTCTGCCCCTGTTTAGCCTTGCAAATATCAATTTCCATTCAAGTCCCTTGCCAACTTGCTTCATAAATTGAGTTAACTTTACTTTGAGGACGAACTAACTCGAAAAGAATTTAATAAACGCCCAATGGACTTGATAATTTGTGGTGCTAAAATAAAACTTAACAAAATGTACATAAATTAAGCGTCAAGGCGCCATAATTAAAGCTTTGTGAAAATGATGGACACGCTGACTAACCGCGATGGCTCCAAGGACCAAAGATCCCCCGGAACACTGTCATTATGCTTTATGGGGGGGAGTGAGGAGGGTAGGGCGTGGCAGGACAAAACCACGGCTAGAATTTGCGGCTCCCAGCAGTAGTGGCTCGTGGCTCCTGTTGGGGAAGGCAGCGAAATTAATTACATTTTACATGCCAGGCGCACACACACACACAGAGAAATGGAAGAATGGAGGTTGCTCCTCCTGCTTCATCTCCTCCACGGTAATTGTTGGCTTGGATGCGGTTAGATGATACCGTCCTCCATGAGGGCAACAGATATGGAATATAAGAATGACTATAGTAGATGTAATGGGGAAATTCTACTCCTAACCCAGTCAAGGATGTTTTAATAATAAAAGCATATGATTTTTGTTAGAGTTATCATTTATCCTCACTCAATCCACCACCAATGCATTGATAATTCTCAGTACTTTCAGCAATGCAATGTGAATCCCTGCACCCATGGCGGCACTTGTTGGTCCAGCGGCGATAGCTTCTATTGCGCCTGTCGTCCCGGTTACACCGGCACCATGTGCGAAGGTGAGTCCTTAGTCTCCTTGCGGTCCCCAAAAGTCATTAACTTGATTAGACCTGGCCTGGCTGCTGAAAAAAAATATGTTTCCCTCGGTGGCTATCTAACTTTTTCTTCCGCTTTTCCCCGGGCTTTATCCGGCTGGGCGGTTTTTCTCTTTCCGGCAGATGAGTTTGTGGTGGAGACTGTCGTTAGCTCCAGCGAATTTATTGTGGACGATGCGAACGCTAGAAATTTTAATGACAAAACTTTCGGTTCATCGGTTGTGCTTAAGAGTCCCATTGAATTGCATAATGCATATTTTGCGGCCGGAGTTCTGGCAGCCGCCATTTTCATCGTTGCCGTTGTGGTAAGTACCCAGAATTCCCAGCATTTCCTCCCTTCTCCCTCTCGTGATTCCCCAAAACCCTGGGTGTATTTGGAGCACAACGTCCCAGGAACATGACCCTAGCATTCAGGGGAAATTGTACTTTGCGGTTATGCAAAGTGCGCACGCGAAATGCCATTGCATATTCATTTCGGTGTCGGGAAAGTGGTCGAGCAACTGAATTGAGCTGCAGAGCTGCAGAGCGGAGGCTTTAACCCAAAAGTTACCAATCGCCTGGACCAGTGGGCTTAAAGCAGATGCAAATTTATACAATTGGTAGCTGTTCTCCTTCACAATGTATGTGTTCGAGAGAGCCAAGTCTCTGGCAATTTATTGGAAGCCCAGAGCGATTCAGTTGACTGGATAAATTGATGCAGAACCTATAAAGTACTCCAATGGACAGGTTAATATCGAAGACTTTAGTTCGGGGGTTATTTATGGTAGGAAATTTTAAAGTTCTAGAATAGTTAGTAAGGGAATTTATAGTTATAATATGTTTAGATCTTTCTATAAAGTTAGAACATCCTTAATAGCAGCTTTAAACCTTAAAATTTAAGCACTCAACCAATCCCAATCTTGGAGATTTTACCTTTTACTTTTCCCCAAAATACAAGCCAATCCATAACCATTTACTTAGCCTCCCCAACAAAAAATATCTCCCCATATTTCTCTTCGTTGCAGGTCACCATTTGTCACTGCAAGGTCAATCAGACGTATCGGAAATTCTCGACACGTTCCACCTCGTTTATACCCATCCTGGGATTCAGTCGTCGCCCCAAAATGCAGGGCAAACTCAATAAGCATTGGCTGAGTGGCAAGGGTGCCGCTTCCGCTTCCGCCGCAGCCGCTGCGAGTGGCACCTCGAATGTGGCACCAACGGTTGGACCGAGGAGCAATGGCGCTGCGCGGCATTTGCCAGGACAACCGCAAACGCAGACCACGCTGGGTGGCCAGCTGCAGGAGCGACCTTTTCAGCGGCATCTGGCCATGAACCTGGAGAACGATATGTACTACACGGTGGACTTTAGCGAGAACTCACAGCACTCACCATTGATACAGTGAGACTTGGACGGGAATGGCGGATGGCTAGTCAAATTCACCCCAAACAGAGAGGAGTGAGGAGGGATTGGAATGGAATGCGGGGGCGGGTCCTTGGTCCTTGGGTGGGGGGAATGTGTAATTATCTTTGATGCTCTACTCGTTGAATATTCCAAATATTGAACAGTATTCGATAATAATAAACTAAATGCCAGACATTTATGTGCAAGAGGGGAGGAACACTAACTTTACGATTATGATTCCGGCTAATGCAAGAACAAATATTTATGATTAATACATTTATGTGTATGTATCTCCGGCATAAATAGGCTTAGCAAACTTGTTTAACCAGGTTTATTTTGGCTAAGCACACACGAGCACACGGACACTGACACGGACACGGACACAGATAATGATAATGTTTTGATTATAAACACTCACGAAGGCAAAAGGCGCAGTAAGAGATATAATCTAGAATTATGTAAATGTTTAATGGGCTCCGCATAAGTTTATCGTTTGAATTTGTACATTTATTCGGGTCAAACAAGGCACTTCAGTTTATGTTTGCCATCTCATGTGGAATGCTGGAGCTGATAGGACTGGGCTCTCGGCTAATTGTTTGCCATAAATCCCTCATAAATTTGTAATGCAAATGCCCGGGCCGGTTCGGTCTGTCCTTGTCCTAGTCCTAGTCCGAGAGTGAACTTTATGGATGGCCATTTGCATATGGACATTTCAAAGAGATTAAATGACTTTCTTGCCCGACGGCAGAAAGGTTTCTCAATAAATTTAATTAGATAGAGTTCAGGGGGATCAGGCATGCTGGAACTAATTATATTTACCCTATATCGAACTGAAACTAAAGTTGGCTAGCATTTTCACCACATTTTCATTTGCAAATGTTTGCAATTAGTTAAATAGCAATAAAACGAATCAGCCAAGAATTGTACTGTGATGTGTTTCTGGTCATGCTGCTGAAATCAATTTCCTCTCCAATGTGTCGCAAATATTGGGTTTATATCAACTAATTTCTGGAAATTCTGTTTGGTTTAGTTTTAATTAATTTTGCCATACTAATAAATTGAAGATTGGGGGGTCGGGGGACGGGTGTTTTAAATTGAATTTAGCCAGAGATTATTGTTGCCAACTGAGTTGCATCGGGGGGTGTGAGTGTGGGGTGTGGTGTGTGGTGTGTGTTCGACCGCAGTCGAAAGTTGTTAGTGAAAAATAATTAGCATAAATTAAAATTGTAGCCACAAAAGTTAATATGTTTTTTGTGCATAAATAATATTTATTTTGAAATCATTTCCGTAAACGATTTCGTGTGGTGTGTGTATCCGTGTGCTGGCCACATTTAGCATATTGCTGTTGATATGCAAACAAGAATGCTGATCAAATGGCAAATAGCTGCTCCCAATAAATGATTTAAATAAAAATTAAAATTAAAAATACAAAATACAAATACAAAAAAAAATCTCGAAAAGCGACATAAGTGAAATAAATTGAGACGAAAATTCTGATATTGCTTGATGCATTCATTTTTTGCATCAATAAATAATATTCGTGCAATTTGGAATGCAGAGAATGAGTTTGTAATTAAAATGCTATATTAAGTAATTAATAACGATAAACTGAGGCAAACCAAAACAAAAGCCAAATGGAAAAACCAATAATATAAAATAATGAAAAGCCGTAGCCTAAGGAAAAACACGAACATACACAGACATAAAATAAAAGCGAAGCGAAAAATGACAGTAATGTAATGAAATTGAAATAAAACAAATGAGGAATAGCAAACATTTTTATTCATTGCGTCAAATGAGTAACCTATGGCAAAGCACTTGACGTTTTGGGCAATTACAATTTAATTTTTAAGCCAATCAGCAAAATAAAGTGGAAAATCCAGCGAAACATGAAAGAGTTTGAATTCAATTTAAATGGGAAAACAATTACCAGCTAAAATCTTGTTTGCTTTTTCTCGTTCTCAACACTTTGGTTTTATTCAGTTTCATTCCCGTTTTGCATAATTTATACATAGACATATACATTTATATAACATAACACACACATGTACAACTAAACAATAGTTTTCATTTATCATTTTCTTCTGTTCTGCTATTTTGTTCTCTTCTCTCGCTTCCCCTTAGTTGCTTTCGGTTTTGGTTTATTAATATCACTCATACGCCGTGTGTGGCTGGTCAGAGAATTGGACTGGCAGCCGCCCTCAAGTGGCCTCCGATTTTTCCTCATCCTCCTGCTGTTGCGGCTGTGGCGGAATTTTCCCATTTCCATTCGATTGTGGTTGCTGCTGTTGCGGCTGCTGAGGCGACTCTGTCTTTTCCTCCCCCGAATTCACGGTGGTCTTTGAGGTGTGCAGCTCCGTCTCCTCAGGTATGACCTTGCGACCCTCCTGATCCTACGAATTTTAAATACAATAAATGAAAAGAAAAAAGAGGTGATGAGTAAGTATTTTTCTTGAAGAAACAGGTATGCTTTTGCCCATGCCAAATGCTAAATAAATGGGGTAAATACAATGACTAAAATATAAAAAATTAAACAATTGAACTTTGATTATATTATTCAGAAACATTTTACAAATGCAATTCAAAGTGTACAAGGGTTTACATAATTCAAATTGTTTAAAGTCCAATTAAAAATGTAATAGAAATTTGTTTAAACTTGATATGGTATTAACTTGAGAGATGTATATTAATTTCTTGTCAACTTTTAAAACATATAAATACAAATTCTATATAATTATTATACACTTTGTATTTAATTTTTTCATGACAATTTAACAATATGTTTTCTATATTTATTTATTTTATTTTATTTGCATTTAAATAAGTCAAAGTTCTACTGTATTTGCAACAGTTTACGCGAATACACACACACTTCCTTCCACTCGTTTAAATATTCCACCTTTGCGCACATGCAATTAGCAATTAAAAAGGTAAAACGCATGCAAAAAACCAATTCCATAACGAGCATACAAATTAACCAACCAATTCCATAAATAATAAAAATAAAAGCCAAAAAAAAGATATATACAAAGGTAAACGGAAAAAGCTACCCAAAGTGTGGCCACAGTGTATAGATTGCTATTTACAATTTACTCACTCAAATTGTTATTAGTTTTTCCCCTAGCAATCCCCATGGATTTTCATGCAAATACGGGCAAGTATGTATAATCAACATGCATACTAATTTGAGTTCGAACATGAAATTTAAGTGGCCGATAAATTATATTTAATGAAGTTGCAGTCACTAGGAACGATGGTTACAAAAGGATTCTGTTCGTGTATTGGGTAATGCAGACTTCAAAGACTTCAGCTTTTCCTATTTAATTAATTGGATTAGAATGTTTTGCAATTAACTTTCATTCATTACATTTCAATTTATATAATTCCTGTACTTAAATTCCAGTGAATATTGGTTTTAAAAGAGAATTTTAAAGGTACTCTAAGAAAATCCTTTGAGTATATTTTTTAGTCAATTAAAAATATTTAAATATGCACAAAATAATTAAAAATAATCTGTATAAAATTAGCTTTGTAATTATCAAAATCATATTAAATTCTTTGCTTTAATACATTTTATAAATCTCTAAATCATTTTTAAAACATATTCCTTCTTCTTAAACACTCTCTATAATGTCTCCAAGAGGACCCCACTTTTATGGTCTTTAGCTTCGTTCTCCATTCGAATTTCAAATGATGTTTTCTGTTTTCCCATCTCAGATCTCAATGTGCTGCATTTCAGAAGCATTCCGGTTGAGTTCGCCTCGCATCCCAAATATGCACAAATAAACGAATAAACTGCAGTTTCCAGTTGCACCAAAAGCCAGTTGGACTTGCCTTTCTTTTTAATACCTTTTCAGAGGGTATTATAATATAGTCGATTTGAAAAATACATTTTTGAAAATTTTCCAATTTTTCCAAGAAAAGATATGGGGTTACATTGTTAAAACTTAGTATGCAGATTTGTTAACCTAATAAAAATGAGCACAAAGGCTTTCCGCATTGAAATCAAATCATTTTTGGCTTAGTTATGATATTTGAAACACTTTGATTTAACCAATTAAGCAGCATATAAAATTATAGACATATGTTAGATTTACTTAATGGCTAATTTCAAGGGTATGAAAACTTCGGCTTCTCGAGTATAGCTACGTTTCTTGTTTTCTCGTTCTTGTTTTTTAATATTTTCCATTTCTTGTTTTGCGCGCTTTGTTGGTGGTGCATTGTCGAAAGGCATTTCCGCGTCATCAAACTTTTCGGATAATTCGCCATGCATCGAACGTAGTTTTCTCCCTGTTTGGCTTTTTATTAAAAAAGTGTTTTGTGGGGTACTGTGTGTTAAAAGGAGGGGATACTGGTGCAAAAGGCACACCGTCCTTGCAGTTGAATGCACAAAAGTTTTCCAACAAACCCACACTCACAAGCAAGTGCGCATCTTAAGTGCCATGTGTGGTCGAGGGGGTGGAAGGAAAAACTCAAAGGAAAAAAATAGAGAGCTACACTAAACAAAAAATAATAATAATACAAGCCCAAGACCTAATTAAAAGCATTTTACCTAGAATAAAATTTGTATACATATTTTTAAAGCGATTACAAAGTATGCAACCAGCTTTATAAGAAGTAATGGCAAAAAAAATCCCAGAAATAATTGCAAAATAATATTCAGATATTCAGGCATAACTTCTTCTTTCTTTACATTAAGAATTTAAATTGTAAGATACACTGAGAAAATAAACCTTATTAAAGGAACAATTTGTGATAATCCAAAAAGGTATTTATTAAAGCCAAGAATATCTTTATTTCTAATAGAAATCATTGGTGTTACTTCTCCCAGCAGCTGTACCACCCTTATTTGAACATTAAATAATGTGCATATTCTTTTCTTATAAAAAATAGAAATACTTTATTTTTTTTAAACGATTTCCCGTATTTAATTTATTTTCCTTTGTGTACTGAGAGAAAGAAGGAGCATGAATTTCTATAATGTTCATGCTCAGTTCATTTTGTGCTGCTTTTGTTTCCATTCCTTTGTTTGGCTTCGAGTTGTTCCTTCTATACATACTATATATATACATTTT